TAACTCCATATGCATACTTTGAATCTGTATATATTGTGCCTCTTTTACCCCTCAGAAGTTCTAATGCTCTTAGCACTGCATATAGTTCACATGCCTGTGCTGACCAGGTAGGACTAAGGGATCCAGATTCTATTAACCTCAGTCCTTTACCATCAACAACAGCATATCCTGATCTCCTTTTGCCTGCTATAACTTGGGAAGAGTCATCTACAAATAATTTCTCCCCTTCTTCTAATTCTGTTTCCTCCAAATCCGGTCTGAGCTTAGTTTGTTCCTCAATTGCATGAAGGCAATCATGAGTTAAATCCCCTTCAGGACTCCCATATAAAAACTGCGCTGGATTCTGCAAGTTAGTGGTTGCAATTTCTAATTTGGGAGAATGTATTAATATTCCTTCATATTTTAGGAGTCTGGCATCAGTAATCCACTTTTCAGCCTTCTGTTGAAGTACTCCTCAAATGTTATGTGGGGAATAAACTTTCAATTCTCCTCCCAATGTTATTTTGTTTGCTTCTTCTATAATTAAAGCAACAGCTACCACTGCCTGCAAGCAAGTAGGCCACCCTCTGCTAACTGGATCTAGCAGTTTAGAAATATACCCCACGGGCTTTTTCCTTCCCGCCCATTCGTGAGTTAAAATGCCATATGCTGTCCCATCCTCCGTGGCTACAAAGAGATAAAAAGGCCTCTTTATGTCAGGTAAACTTAAAACAGGAGCATTCACTAAATCAGCTTTGAGAGACTCTAATTTGTCATCATCTTCCTGAGTCCATTTTAAGGATCCACCCGTAGTCAGTTTTTGGTATAAAAATCTTACTTTATAACTATAATTTTCAATCCACTGTCTGCAGTATCCAAACAATCCTAACAACTGTCTCACTTGTCGCTTGCTATTGGGAGCTTTCAGTGACAGAATTCCATTAACTCTCTCAGGATCCAGTTTCTTAGTACCCCTGTGAATCCAGTGTCCTAGGTATTTCACCTCTTGCTCCACAAATTGTAATTTAGATTTAGAAACTTTCAGACCCTGGATACTCAAAAAGTTGAGCATTCTAATAGTTTCTTTCCTTACTATTTCTTGGTTTTTCCCTGCTATCAACAAATCATCTACATATTGAAGCAATGTTACCCCCTCAGGCAGGTGATATTCTCGAAAGATACGCTCTAAAGCTTGTCCAAATAGGTTTGGTGACTCGGTGAATCCCTGTGGCAAAACACACCATCTCAGTTGTTGTTTTCTGAAATTATCTGGGTCTTCCCACTCAAATGCAAAATAATTCCTGCAATCCTCCTTGAGGGGACATGTCCAAAATGCATCTTTAAAATCTATTACACTGTACCATTGATATTCAGGGCTTAATTGACTCAGTAAAGTATGGGGGTTTGCAACCACTGGAAATCTACTTACAGTTCTTTTATTAATCTCCCTTAGGTCATGTACTAGCCGGTAAGTTCCATCCGCTTTTTTAACTGGCAGAATGGGAGTATTAAAAGGAGACATGCAGGGCTCAAGCAATCCTCGTTTTAATAATTGGTCTATTTCAGGTTTTAGCCCTCTCCTGCTTTCGCTAGGTAAGGGATATTGTTTGATCCGTACAGGGATTTCCGGGCTTTTAATAGTTACTTCAAATGGTTCAATATCTAATTTTCCCACAGTTTCTGGGGTGTACCACACTTCAGGATTAATCTGTTTCTCGTCCACCTCTGTAAGGGGACACAATTTAATTTTCAGCTCCTTTTCTTCAACTTCTAATTTTATTCCCAACTCCACAATCAAATCTCTCCCTAACAGATTATATTCAGCCTCAGGCAACAGTAACAGTGTCCCAGTCCCATATTTACAATCTGATTCTACTAATACACTTTTTATAACAGGGACCTGAAATGGTTCCCCTTTCGCTCCCACCACACTAACTTTTTCTCCCGATATTTCACATCCAGGTAGTAAGAACTGTACAGTTGACCTTTCAGCTCCGGTATCCACTAAAAAGGTCACTTCCTGGTGCTGGGGACCCACTTTCAAATTTATCAAGGGCTCTTTTTAACCTGGAGTCCCCAGCGCATAGAGCCCCTGACTTCCCTAATCCTCTTTGAATTCCTTTTCATCTTTAATCCGTTTCCTACATTCCCTCCTTATATGTCCCTTCTTTCCACAATAGTAACACTCCACCGTCCGCCTGTCCACCCGTTCTGTTCCTGGTCTCTCAGTCTTCCTCACTTCCTCTTTCTGTCCTGCCCAAACCGCTGCCACCAAAAGTCTCGTCTGCCTTTTCTCACTCTCTCTTTCTCGTCTCACATACACTTTCTGAGCCTCTCTCAGCAATTCATCCAATCCCTTTTCCTGCCAATCTTCTATCTTCTCTAATTTCTTTCTAATATCCACCCAGGACTTTGCCACAAACTGAGTTTTTAATAAAGCCTGGCCCACGGGTGTAGCTGGATCTACCCCCGAATATAATTGGAAACTTTTTCACAACCTCTCAAGCCAGTCTGTTGGAGTTTCCTCCTTTTTCTGGTGCTCCATAAAAACTTTATTAATATTTCTTCCCTTCGGAACCGAGTCCCGGACCCCTTGGATGATAATTGTTCTTAAATCTGCCATGTGGTCTCTGTGGATTGGGTCTTGATTATTCCAATTAGGTCTATGTAAAGGCCACTTTTGTTCCGCCGCCGGTCCTGCCTGATGTTGCTGGTCCCAGAGCTTCATCCCCGCCCTTCTAATCATGTCTCTTTCCTCTACCGTAAATAATATACTTAAGATGGATTGCAACTCATCACATGTATATAAACTTGGTCCCAAAAATTGATCTAACTTTTCCCCTACCCCTATGGGATCATCGAGTAAATTTCCCATTTCCTTCTTAAACTCTCTGACATCCCCAGTGTTTAAAGGGACTGCTACATATCCTGTCTCCGGCCCTCCTTGCCCATCCCCCCCAGACACCAATATCTCTCTAAGTGGAAACAGTTTCCCCTCCCCCTGTTTTGCCATGCTGCGGGTAATTCGCTGAGGGGGGGCTGTCGGTATTGGAGACTCAGTATCTGAGTCCGAGCCCTGAGGCGGTGGTGTTTCTGAACTCCGCAAAGAATACTGCGGTGGGGGGGCTTTAGAGGCAACCGGAGGGGGCCAGAAGGGATCCTCTTTATCTGAGTGAGATTTAGCAGGTTTTTTCTCTCTTAATGCAAATAATGATGCTTCCCCATCTGGCCCAGGAATCCACAATTCAGCATACTCTTTTTCCTCGGGGTTAGTAGGACTTTTATTGTCTACCCATGTATTTAACTGCTGACACATCCAGCCCTCAGACGACCCAAACACAGGCCAGAATACATGCGGGTTTGTAAGGGGCTTCTCTCCCCACACCTCAATACAATAATGAATCATTTTTTCTTTGGATTTACCCTCTCTTCTAGACGAAACCTCCCAGTGTTTAATCATTTGTCCCAGAGGGCTCTCTTGCGGTATATCTGGTAACTTAGTCAGTTCTCCTATTTTTTCGGGGGATCCCTTCCCCATGGAACAAGAGGATTTACTCTTCCCTTGTCCCATCTTCCGGGGTGCTTCTTGTCACACACACACACGCGCCCTCTTGTCGTGACGCAGCCCCTCGCGGGGTCGTGGGAACTGCACTACTGAGAGGTCCACTCTCGCTTGGCCTCAAGGAGACCTCTCATACAGTCGCATCCCGGGATAACCACCCCAACCAAACGGCTCACAATAGTTATACTCACCACTCCCGGGTCTTCGTCTGGTCTTCGTGCACAAAATTTAAGGGGTCCTGCAGGTCTTTATTGTTCATCTACCGTAATTTAGGATGGTTCATGGATTCGAGGTATTGCTGCGACCCTTCTGCGATACCAGGCTGCTAAAAAGTCAGGCAGGGCGCCCCCTGGGCCGCGAGGGTGTATGGCAAAAGACCCAGAATATCCGAGTCACAGCACCAAATTGTTATAAGTTACTAGCGGTAATTTAGGAAAGTTGAGAAAGCAAATACAAAATAACAAGCCAATTTATTAGTAAGCGGTAAATGAACAATCACGGCTCGCCGGGGGGACTGCTGGAACTAAGGTTCCCACACAGTTCGCCTGCCTTCGACTTCCCAAACTCCCTTTTTGAACCCTGCGGGCTCCTGTTTAGACATGCTCAGTACTTAGGTTCTTATTTATACATGGTCCGGGGCATGTGCTCTCCGCACATGCTCAGTTACAAAGTTTCTCATATACATGTTCCCGGGCAGGGCTCTCTGGCGCCGATCGGCTGGGGGTTTCTTTGTGGGCTGGGGGCTTTGCGAGGAAGGTTTCTCCTTTTTCTTTGTGTTCGGTAGATGACCCCAGCTTGGAATATGCGCATTTAAAAGGTATTCTCCTCCCCTCCCAGGCTTATCACATTCCTTTTGATTTCTTGTTTGGGGGAGCCTCTCCTGTCTCCAGACTGTCGCTTCGGATGATGTTATCAGGGCCCTGTAAATTACAGGCTCAGTCTGCCCCCCCTCCTTCCACCATCAACCTTGGGAACAAACGGCAGTTTGTTAACAGCATTCCACAGTTACGTGGGGAATGCATATTTCTACTAAGCTTAAAAACTCTTTTTAAAATGTATATATGTAGCCCTAACAGCCATGAGAGAAATACATATAGAAATCACACATCCATAGCATGAAGTATTAGTAAGCTTAACAAAAAAAAACAATCTAAAAAAATATATAGTTTATCACATATATTAGGTTTTAAAATTTGGTTTAACTGTTTTGTTATTCCCAAGAGGTTTTCTAATAATAAAGTTCTGAGTTTTCTCGGGGTTGTCTATCTCGTCCTACGAGTTTTAGTGCTTTCAGGATTTTTGCACCTTTGATCTGATAAGGCAGTGAGATTTGTAAACTGCAAAGGGTGGGGGGGTGTGGGGGGGTGTAACAGGGAATTCAGTAGTTATGTGTAAACAACAATTGAAGGAATTTCGAAAGGTTTGTGAAAGTAGAGGTTTAATGAGGGATTCAGCGGGTCGGGGTGGGGGGGGGCCGGGAATGGGGCATTACAGGGTGCTGTGGGAGCAGCGACTGATTCCGTCAGGGGGAATTGATTCCAAACTGGTCATTCTCATTCACACTCCCATGTCCTCACTGCAATCCCCTCCCTGTTTTTTTCAATTACTGCAAGGATGTTTAGAGGCTCGAGGTGTACTATACAAAAAGACAAACACTGCTTCACACGCAGGTGTGAAAACGTATTCTGCTCCTCTTCCCCTTACTGGAGGCCTGGCTAAGATTAGGAAGTATTCCAGCAGGAATTTAGAACACATTCAAATAAATTGCCCGCACAGATTGGTGGTTTACATTGCATAAACAGTGACAGTTACAAGAAGATTTTTTTGCATTTGTTTAGGTTCTAGTTAACTAAAATATTCTGGTATAGTTTTTCTTTACTGACATAGGATAACTAATGTAATCAAAATAAAAAAGCAGAGGTAGAATATCTGATAGAAGGACAGAGAGGAAGGTGGAATACAAAGAGAACTTCAGTTTTGCAGAACCATAGAAAAGACATTATACAGAAGCAGAGAAGATTATAAATTAAAGAGAATTATAAAATTTTTATTGCTAAAAACCACTTATACAGAGAACAACTTCTTGGTGTAGTAAAGTTGAAAAAGGAAAGAATTTAAAGAAAATACTCAGAAGTTCAGAACTATGCAAAAGTAGTGACAAACTAGATTTAACCAATAAAGCCTACACTGCCTAGAAAAAACATGTTTATCCATCACTCATTCACTGCCTCTGTCAGGGCATGGAGAGGATGACATTTGGAGACAAAGGAGACTGAAGAGAGGTTTGTGGAAAACGGGGGGTAATGAGGGGCATAGAGGGGGGACCACAAGGGATTTTCATTTGGGGTTTTTGGGCTTGTTGACACACCCAATCCTCGGAATACTCAAATACGGGTCATATAATATGGGGATTAGAGAATGACTTTTCTCCCCAAGCTTCTATATAATAACATATCCTCTTTTTCTTAGATTTAATTTTCTTCCTAGTGGAATTACTCTAATGTTTTATCCTTCATCCTAATGGGCTTTGTGGGGAGATATCGCCCTTCCCCATGGGATCCAGAAGGCTTGCTTTTCTTCTGTCCCATCTTCTAAGGTGCCTTGAAACGTACACACACTCGCTTCCTCTCGGTCGTGACCCACTCCCTCGCAGGACATGAGAACTGCACTACTAGAGAGTCCGCACTCGCTTGGTCTCGTACCGAGACCTCTCACACAGGCACACCTTAGGATTACCTCCCCCAACCAAACAGCTCACCAAAAAAGAAAACTCTATACTTACCCCTCCCTGGGGTCTTCGTTTGATCTTCGTGCACAAAATTTAAGGGGGTCTGCAGATTTCTTTGCTTTATTATCGAAATTTTACTGGGTTCATTGATCCAGAGTTTGGTGAGAACAGCCTTCAGAGCAGGGCTATCCGGAGATAGGGCACCTCCCTGTCTCTGCCGGAGTTCAGACCAAAGCAATTTGGATTGCCCGCATTCTCCACCAAATTGTTATAAGTTAGTATAAGAATTTAGACAACTCAATTCCGATTAAAATTTGATAAACTTATTAAGCAAGCGATAATAAAGCAAACAGCGCTGGGTGGCCTAGGGGGCAAGTGCCCCGCCCGAGACACACACTGAAAATGTAGTAAATGTTCCTTTTTATACATTTCCAAGTCCCGAGTTTTGAATGCGGCTGCGTTGAGGCTTGAGTTTGTGGCTCGTTGTTAAGTGGTCATCTGGGATTTGTCAAAGCTGCAGTTCTTATCAGCTGTAAATTTTACCAATACTGATACTTGTTTGTTTAGCAAGATGTCTGCCATTATTTTTACTGACACTTGCTTAATTAACAGGATGCCCATGAAACTTATCTTGTTGAATTATAACAAAAGTTCCTTATTCCCTCATACACATAAGATTTTATGAACAAAGTTAACAATCTATTAC